AGTAACCTGCCTCCATGGGGGTTAAAACAATGCTCCCCAGCTATGAACTGGGGTTTTATGCTCTCGTAGTGACGTGTGCTGTGGTCTACAGCGGCAGCGGGATCTTCGAAGCATCCCGAGGTAATGCTCCCCATCGCATCCCCCCCGGTGGTGGCCCTGGGAGGGAGGATGGATGTAAGGTGACTGCTTTTACAGCCATCAGTACCAGCAGCAGCAGATCCCTGGCTTTAATTACTGCAGAGAACACCTTGGGAATCCTTTGCATGGTTCAAAAAGGGGTTTTGCCTGATTGGCCCCATGGCCCCATTTCCATGGCTCCAGAGTAAGAGGCTGCGGCACATCAAAGCTCTCCAGCCAGTGCCCAAAACAGGCACCCACCCTGTCTACATGTGGGCTGGTTCCCAGATGTTTTTTTTTTGTCTGGAAGCCCAAAAACCTGAAAATTTCATGGGATTCCAAAGGTCCCTGGGATGCGGCACCATGCAAAGACTTCCCTGGAAAGTCAGGTGGAAGTAGTTGAGTTTCCTCATTCCTATGGGTGTCCATGGGGATTAGGCACTTTGGGGATGGAGTGTTTGAGCCCTGATGGCTCATCGTTGCGGTGAGGAAGGCTCCTCCTGCCTTGCCAAAACCTGGGTCCCGCCTCCCAGAGCTGTTTCTCTCCCCATAACCCTGGTTCTTTTGCAGACAGCATGAACAGAAAGGCCTTTCGGGACGGCATAAAGCCGGGCTGGCACTACTTCGGCAGGAAGATGGTAAGCGGAAGAAGGACTCTCGGTCTTTTCTAGCTGCCGGTGACGCGGTCGGTGCTGACCGCTGGAGAAGCAGAGATGGTTTTTCTGCTGCTGACACGCTTTTGCAAAGTCCACGTGACTCCTATTTTTCCTCCCGAAAGAACGAGTCGGGAAAATATCAGCCCTGCAGCGCCATGGATGCTCTGCTTTGTGTGCACCGAGACGAGCAACCTCTGCGCATCTCTCCTGGGGTTTTATGACCAAGCTTAAGTGCTCAGGCGCCCTTGGGTGGAAAATGGGAACAAAAGGCTTTGAAAGTTGTGTGGTTTCCCCTCCAGATGGGTGTTGGGGCAGGGGTGCGAGGGCTGGGGGCAGTAAGGCACCTGGTGCTGCTCCTGCAGGACGTGGCCGATTTCGAGTGGGTGATGTGGTTCACCTCGTTCAGGAACGTCATCATCTTCGCTCTCTCGGGACATGTCCTCTTCGGCAAGATCTGCTCCATGACGGTGCCACAGGTGAGCCAGGGATGTGGTGGGATGGATTTGAAAGCACCAGGGTGACTTGGGATCTGTGGAGGGGGCTTGAGGGATGTTCTAGGATGGAAGAAGCAGGGTTGGGGCTTTCACCAAGCTGACTACTGGTCGGGGTCGCTCTCTTCTCACAGCACCGGGCTGTGGTGTACATGCTGTATGGGATCCTGGCCGTGCTGGGCAGCATGGGGCTTGTCTACCTGATGATCATCCTCTCCCACTGTCTTGTCCTCTACTCCGTTGCGATGGCCAAGCAGAAGTGGCTCTGCTACGTAGCTGGGTTTTGCTGTCTCGCCTCCTTCAAGATGGAGCCCTTCAGCTCCTGGCAGGTAGGTGCTGTCTCAGACTACCCATCTGCCTCATTTCCAGCCCAGTTGTGTCCCTCTCCTTGGGTTTATTTCCCGGGAGGGCTCCTGGGGTGCCCCCAAATTCTGGACACTTCTCCTGGCTGCGTCAGAGCTCCACAGGGTTTGAGAGGGAGGGGACCTGTGCCACTGGAGGATATGCTGTGTTTTGGTGGCTTCATGCTGGGCCAGAGCTCAGGACACCTGAGTCCTCCTTGCTGCTCAGGCAACAGCTTATCAGTCAGGCAAGGCATGTTCCTGCCCCGTGCCTCAGTTTCCCCATCTGTAACACAGTGCTGGGATGGGTTCAGCGATGCCCATCCCTATCTTTTAGGTCTCTGCCCAGTTAAGACTTTCTCTCACTGGTGGGTGGAGAGAAGCCCAGGAAGGACCTCATAAAGCCATTCAGTCCCTCTGAAGGATGGTGCTGCCTGTCCTTGCCTGCAGCTCACCTCCTGAAAAGCATTCCCCTCTCTCCATCAGGCTTGTGCTGACTTTTCTTCACCTCCAGGGGAGGGTTATGTCCCTGCAAGGGGGTGACAATCCCACCCCAGACCACAGCCTGCAATGGCCCATAGCTGCTTGGTGAAGACGTGGCCAAGAGGACCTACCACTTCCTGGCTCCTCCAGGATGCAGGAGCCAGCTGGGAAAACAAGCCCCAGTTTTCTCTTTCCAGCAACAAGGCTAATTAGGTCCAGTCACAATTGGTGTCAGAACATAATTAGAGGCTTTGCCAGCTGCCCCAGGAGTGATGTCCTCCACAAAGCAAGTGAGCATAGAAGTAACACCACGTTCCTGGTGGTAACTCTTCGTTTCTCATCCAGAGTGGGTTTGTAACGGGAGCTTTTGATCTACAAGATGTCCTCTTCTATGGAGGAAGCAGCTTCACCATCATGCGCTGCATGAGCTTTGCACTCGAGAGCTCTGAGAGGAAAGAGGGAATCTACTCCATCTTTGACCTTCTCAAGTACAACTTCTACCTCCCATTCTTCTTCTTTGGGCCTGTCATGACATTTGACCAGTTCCGTGCCCAGGTGAGTGCTCCTGAGTCCTGGCTGGAGGAGGACCTCTTCCTGTGTCTATTTTCTTGGGTTTAATGCCTACAAAACCCCACCTTTTGCCACAGTGAAGGTGCAAATGGTTGTAGAGCTCGTGGTCACCTAGAGTCTTTGGCCATAGTCTGGGCTGCACAATGATGACGTGACTTTAGTGGGGTGGGGCATAAACTGATGGGGTTTTAACCTTCCCTTTTGGGTTTTTTTGACCATTTCCATTGATCGGTTCAGAAGGGAAGACATTGCTGTGGTGAAAGAATCATGTTGGGATGAGGAGGGGAGGGTTCAGCTCATGTCCTTGCTCGCTGGACACCTGCATTGCTCAGTGCCTCCATTTCCATGTGCTGTCACCCCAGCAGCTCCATGCTGCCCTCTGTGCGGTGCCGGAGGCCACCGTGAGAGCCAGACATGTGGTGCCCATCTGTGGACCTCTGCATGCTGGTGGCTGTGGCAGCAAGGGCAGTCTCGCATTTCCATAAAGCTTGTTCACCCAAGGAACGTGAACTTCCAGGGATGGTCTGTGTGTCTGAAGATGAAGTTATTTCCCTAGAAATAAGTAAGTTTGGGTGAAAGGCTGTGTTTCAGCGACTGGGGGCTTCATCATCTCCCCATGAAACACCCAGGTGCCCCAACTTTTTGCCTGTACAGCATACAACCAAGGGGACTTTTTGAAAAGCAGACTCCAAACAGCACTGGAAAACATCAGCAGAAGCTGAGGCTGGGGCCAGCCGACCTCTGGGGCTGTGTCACACCCAAAGATCAAGCAAAACAGCAGTGCTCTCTACCACCACGCTCTT